AAGAGATAAAAAAAAAAAGTTATATATAAAGACAAAAGGAAAAGTGGGAAGAAAAGCAGCGGGCAAATGGAGTGAGACCTACACATACAATGACCAACAATGAGGTACAGCAGCCCAAATACATGACCGCCACAAGCGTAGGGAAGCAACAAAACAGAAACGGAGTCACAGAGGGAGAAACATGGAAACCCATCAGGGCAAGAGAGGTGGCAGGAGGCCCATGTAAACACACACTGGAGAGAAAACGGAGAAGATGGCAACTGAGGAAGAGATACCGACAAGCTCTGGAAGGCGGTCAACTGGGCCGTGACGGTGGGCACGCACTGTACCAGACACCCGAGTCATTCTACACCTGCCTGCAAGACTGCAGAGAGGGCCTGATTTGGCTCAAAGATGGGGGAAAGGAGATAGAAGAGGAAAGAGAGGCAATAACTAAGTAGGGAATGAGGGAAGGACTGACTCAATTTAAAGGGCTTCAAATCCATGTGAACTGATACAGCCTGAGAATAAGGGGAAAAAGGCCGTGGAGAAGTCATTTACGTAGGTAAAGCCTACAAATACATATTAGGGCCAAGTGAATACAAAGGAAGACATGTTTTTTTCCAGAGGAACAGTGAAAGACTAGTTAGAAATTTTCTCAGTTTGAGTGTGGACACTTGACATAAGAGGTTAAACCACCATTGGGACACTTACATCCCAAATGTGGGTCCTGGGTTTGAGTTCACTCTCCATTCCAGCTTCCAGCTAATATACACCTGGGAAAGCAGTGATGAAGGCTCAGGACGTTGGGCCCCAGATGTCCATATAGGATTTTGTGACCTCCTGGCTCCTGTTTTCAGCTTGGTTAAGTCTTAAATAGCAGAAGTAATTTGTGAGTGTATAAAGAACTACAAACAGTAGGCAAAAGACAAAACTGTGCAGAAATAAGTCAAACAGTATCACAGGTTGTAGGATGGAACATAGCAGTAGACTTCACGATCTTACTCCCGCTTCTGTGAGCTACACCACTGCTTTTTCTTCTTCCTCTTCTTTTTTAAAGATTCATTTATTTGGGCCCGGCACAATGGTGCAAGTGGTTAAGGTCCTCTCCTTGCACGCCCGGGATCCCATATGGGCACCGGTTCTAATCCCGGCAGCCCCGCTTCCCTTCCAGCTCCCTGCCTGTGGCCCGGGAAAGCAGTCCAGGACGGCCCAAAGCTTTGGGACCCTGCACCCGCGTGGGAGACCCTGAAGAGGCTCCTGGCTTCGGCTCGGCATAGCATCGGCCGTTGCGCTCACCTGGGGAGTGAATCATCGGACGGAAGATCTTCCTCTCTGTCTCTCCTCTCTGTACATCCGCCTTTCTAATAAAAATAAATCTTTAAAAAAAAAAAGATTTATTTATTTTTATTGCAAAGCCAGACATACAGAGGAGGAGAGACAGAGAGGAAGATCCTCCATCCAGTGAATCACTCCCCAAGTGAGTGCAACAGCCGGTGCTGAGCCAATCCAAAGCCAGGAGCCCAGATCCTCTTCTGGGACTCCCACATGGGTGCAGGGTCCCAAGGTTTGGGCCATCCTTGTCTGCTTTCTCAGGCCACACGCAGGGAGCTGTATGGGAAGTGGAGCTGCCGGGATTAGAACCAGCACCCATATGGGATGCCAGTGTGTTCAATGCGAGGACTTTAGCTGCTGGGTCACAGCGCTGGGCCCAACCACTGCTATTCAACATTGGGATAACTCAATTGGTGAGTCATAGCATCAATTAATCGGAATTTTTCAAGTGAAAAAAAAAAAAAGGAAAACTCCAAAGTCCATTGCAATGTAACAAAGCTGGGAAGGGTAAATATTTCATGGGAATACTGCCTCAGACCTCAGTACACATACATATAAAGCTAAGTCACAACAAATTTACTGCATCTAAAAGTCACAGCTCTACTGAAGCCTTTAAACATCACAGTCGGGCCCGGCACGGTGGCGCAAGTGGTTAAAGGTCCTCGCCTTGCACGCCCGGGATCCCATATGGGCGCCGGTTCTAATCCCGGCAGCCCAGCTTCCCTTCCAGCTCCCTGCCTGTGGCCCGGGAAAGCAGTCCAGGACGGCCCAAAGCTTTGGGACCCTGCACCCACATGGGAGACCCGGAAGAGGCTCCTGGCTTCGGATCGGCATAGCATCGGCCCGTTGCGCTCACTTGGGGAGTAAATCATCAGACGGAAGATCTTCCTCTCTGTCTCTCCTCTCTGTATATCCGCCTTTCCAATAAAAAAAAAATAATAATAAAAATAAATCTTTAAACATCACAGTCATTCACAAGAGAGAAAAAGAATGAACTGAACCTAAAATAATAATCTTAGATGTAAAAGGTTTGATGGGGGAAATATTAGAAGAGTTTATACAGTATACTAATGTATAAGATAAAATTAGATAATGCATTAAGATTGGATTTTTTCCCTAAAGAAGCCAATTATTGCCACAAGACTCAACATAGCAACTGTCCTCGAGATGAGGAGTGGGTTTGGATGGGGATGGCCACATGGTATGTTCTGAAATAAGGTAGCTTAGCTGCAACTGTCCCTTACAACACTGCGTGGCATATGCACCACACAAATCATTTTCACATATGAAGAATTCTTCTGTCAGCAAGAGTGACAGCATGTCAGAACTATCGTATGCACGGGGAAACCCTTGGTACGTGTGCCACCCCGGGATCCTGGACTGATATTGACATTGACATTGGGTGGCCGTTCCCCACCCTCGGGTACTGGGATGGTCGGGAGGCTGGGTGTAGTTCCTCCTCTTATCGCCCTTCTCCCCTCAGAAATGGGAAGAAGAAATGGAAAGTTTCGAGACAATGTCCTGAAGGGGTATTTAGGACCAACAGCCTGGTCCTTGTGAACTTCCTGTCTATAAAGTAAAGGAGATGGCTGGGTAATATCTCGGGTGTTTTTCTACTCTGAAGTATTCATAAGGAAACGTTTATAACCAGTTACCAATCCATCTGTGTAAATAACTCAATAACATGTCCTGACGGGAAAACACATGATACAAGAGTAACGATGCCACTGGGAGGCTCCTGCCTCAGAGCAGGTGCTAGGGCTGCATTCTGGGCTCCGCTCCCAGTTCCTGAGAACGCAGACCATGCGAAGAGCACGTGATGGCCGAGGCGTCAAGTCCAGCCACCCTGGTAGGACACAGACCAAACTCCTGCTTTGGTTTACTTAGATCCTCAGAGAAATACTCATTTGGGGAGTGAACGAACACACAGAAGTGCTCTGTGTCTTTCTCTGTGACTCTCAAGGAGGAAAAATAATAAATATATTTTTTTAAAAAGATGATTTTCAATACTAAGAATAAGAAAAACTATTATTTAATGTTTTTGGCAGAACTCTAATTCAAAGTCCGGCTTCAAAGAAGACAGTTGTAGTCTTACACTTGTTTTGTATTCAATGTGTTGCCTGACACCGAATGAAATATAGGAAGAAAATCTACCACCACACAAATACACTGAGAAACAAGGAGACCCTCACAGACTGTCTGCAAACGTCTCATGGGTGCCAAGGGTCTGCAGGCTACACTTCAACAACCATCAATCTAACAGCAATATTCCTCCCCATCTCTCCTGCCCTCTTCTCTCCCTTGCTCAGGTTACTCAAATACCTAGAAATAAGATAAGGCAAAAACTGATCAGATAACTTCCATGATCAATAAAATGCTGGAAGATACACCTGTTTCTTCAAGATAATTTCTAATTATGTAAGTAGCTAGCTATATAAATAATATTACATTCCTTTTGAGAAAGGAAAGCTTATTAATAAAAATTGAGAAGCATAACATTTTCATCCAAAACCTCAAATATAACATTCCAAAAACCTACAGCTTGGCAAAATCTATTCATAAATAAAATATCTGACTCCAGAAATGTTCAAACAATTCCTGCAAAACAACAAGCAAAGGCAGATTATGGCAACACAGCATTAAGAAGTCATCCATCAAAGCCATAAGTTCTGAAAACCCTGGACACACCAAGCAACGCGGTAACGGGAAGCTGTAACACCTCACACCTGGCTGGCAGGAATGTAACCAGACACACTGCCTTGGAAAGGAATCTGCATTCTCAACATTTTCATGTTATGTCAACAAGCGAACTTGTAGGAAATAACAGCAAGTCTGGAATCTGTATACTATGCTTCTCAATTAGCAAAGTAAGTCAAAGTCATAATAAGGAATACAACACAACTGTGAAAAGGAACACAACCATATGAATCCACTTGGATGAGTCTCAAAATGAGGAAAAGCAGCAATTTAAAACAAAAGGTGGGGGAGGAGATAAAATAAATCTAGTATGGTAGCAATGACCCTAAGTTCAAATATGAAAAAGAAGTCTTTATTGTCTAGAATTACCTATACCAGTAGTTAAACTATAGAAAATATGTAGAAATGACACCACCAAGTTGGGGTCAGTGGGGTGAGAACAGAAGGCACTGGAGGAAAGAGAACGGAGTTCTACCAACAGCAATAGCCACCATATTCTTAATACCATTTTTGTGTCCGAAATATCTAAATTTCAAACGTTTTACAAAAACTTACTTTTCCTTAAGTTACAATTAAAAACATTAAAAATGTTTCTGAAAAGACTACTAGTCTTCAAAATCAATTTTTTCACTATACAAAACATGAGCTAAAGGCCATACCTTCTCATCTTTGAGTGGAGTGCGCCACCTTGTGTTCGAAAGCTTCCCACTACTCTACATCTCTGAAGGTGGCTTACTTTAAAATACAAATTCACACGTGCTATGATATGAAGTGTGACATACAAAATGGACATTTGGAAAACCTGTTTAGATTTTGAAGAGACTGAAAATATATTTCTTTCCACTGACTCTCTTTTAGTTTTCACTGTTCTTATAGAAAATAGTTTGTTTGTTTTTTACTTTAGCTTTGAGCATATAAATTTTCTTAAACGAGTACAATACAAAACGATGAATTTAAGTACTACAATACACATTCATGAAGTGACTTACCTTTGAATGTGTGATGGATAAGGTGTCGACCCACACACGCCAGCCACCCCACTCGTATTTGATGGCATGGTAAAGCAGGATTCTGAATATGGCATATACCATTTCTGCGATCTTTTGCTCTTCTGAATTCTGAGGATTGAAATAGCAGAGAGAAAGCATCCATTCTTGCCACACAGAGCACTGCAGCAAGCTCCTGCAAGTTATGAGAGAATACTGAATTACTGAATAAAAAATCCAAATCACCCAAGACTTCTACAAAGTAAAAATTTAGAACAAAATAACATTCTCCCATACCCGCAAGAAACACAGTTAAGGACAATAATTTCGTATTGAAAATTACAATTTAACTGGATAGTGTCTTATTTACATTTCCTTAAAGAAATATTGTACTGATTTTTATATTTTTTAATTTTTGCTTTACATTTTGAATTTTATCGGACAGTTCTGTATAGTCTGGGAATCCCTTCCTCACAAACCCCACCCCACCAACGCTCTTCCCTACACTGTCACAGCAGTATATTTCTTCATAAGGAGTTACAATTCCATCAGTCTGATATTTAAGTGAAGATTTTTTTAAAACACCGAAAAATCATGTCACATGATCTTGTAAGCAATTTCTCTAAGGCAGTGCAGTCTCACACAGAAGTACTATTGAATACAGCAAATGCTTTGTGACCAAGCGTACCTCCTGTTTTCTCGGCTGTTATTAAAAAGTTTAATCATGTCAGAAAGAAACGCTCTGCGAACCTCCATGCTCTCCGGGCACTGGGGAGAATTGCGAAGTAGGGTCGCAATTACTTTTAGTATCTCTGCAAGACAGTTCATAAATAAATAAAAACCCAAACAAAAAAATTTATGATGGAAAGTCATGAGTATTTGTTGCAACTTCTAGTATCCTTTACACAAATATCTACTGAAAAAACCCCCCTCTGTATCATCTTTTAGTATTGGTAGAAAAAGATGATGATCCATTCATTACAAATCACCAATAAACAAGGGATTTTTAAAAAATAAGTGAATGTGCAAAGTCAAATTATAAATAATTGAATTCTAAAAGTCTGAAGCAAAACAAGATAAACAATTAGTGAATTAAATGACAATAAAAATGCCCAGAAGTCTATCATCTCTCTTAGACATGGAACCCAAGCTTCAAAAAAAGAAAAAGCACTTTAATAAAATTACAGAAACAAGAAAGTAAGAAAGTCTCAGATTCTGCAACATAAATTATGGAACTATATAGCCCTTCTTTTATTAAAAAGTTATGAAAATTTTCACCCACAATGTTAAAATTTCAAAAACTAAATGAAACTAAAATCTATTCAACATTCCTATCTCTTCAACAAATGCAAGCAAAACTGCTCCCATAATGGTTCCAGAGTAAACTGAAAATTGCCAAACCTGAAGATTTTAAAGAATTCCTTTAAAAATATGTACTTACGGCTGCTGTAACAGCCTAGTGGCTAAATCTTCGTCTTGCATGCACCAGAATCTCATGTGGGCGCCAGTTTGTATCCTGGCTGCTCCACTTCCCATTCAGCTCCTTGCTTGTGGCCTGGGAAAGCAGAAGAGGATGACCCAAAGCCTTGGGACCCTGCACCCCCATGGGAGAGCTGGAGGAGAATCCGGGCTTCTGGGTTCAGATCAGCTCAGCTGAGGCCATTGTGGCCACTTGGGGAGTGAATCAGCACATGGAAGATATCTATCTCTCCATCTCTCTGCATATCTGCCTTTGCAATAAAAACAATAAAATAAAATCTTTTTTTAAAAAGAGCACTTAATCCAGAACTTTACTAATAAGAACCCAAAGACAGCTATACCTTGAATTTAAAATTAAATATCAAAATAAATTTATTCAAATAAAAAATTTAAGAATTCTAAATCAACCAAGAATTGTGGTGACTCTGAAGCATCAATTTCAAAATAGGAAGAAAATATTTTGACAATTAAAGGTTCTGAATTCTAATGACAAATTTAAGAAGCTCTCCACCTGGGCAATAATCATAGTAACGAGATGAATGCCACCAGTTTTGGGGATTGACTACAATGAGGCACTGCTTGAGAAAGTGCAGCTATGGATTCATTTAATCCTTATGCAATGAAACAGAAGCATAAACAGTAAGTGATAGGAACAGGTACAGAGGACAACATCTCTGCCTTTATTGGTGCCAGACTGAGTAACAGCTGCTTCCTTTCCAATCTCCAACCCAGTTCCCCACTTCTGCGCCAGAGAAAACAGTGCAAGATGGAGAAGTCATTGAGCACCAGCCATGCACGTGGAAGACCCACGCCAGACTTCAGCGTTCGGCGGCAGCCACTGGGGAGTGAACGAGCAGACAGAAGGCAGTTCTCTCTTCCCCGCCCTTCCTCCCAACCTCATTTTCTCCACTCTCTCTCCTCCCTCAAACTCAGCCTTTCAAAAGTAAATAAATAAAAACACTTCTTTAAAAAAAAATTACAGAAAAGTAATAATATACCCAGGGTCACATAACTAATAATACATATACCATGAGCTCAATGCAGGCAGGCCACATTATTCTTTCAAATATTTATTTATTTTTATCGGAAAGGCAGCTTTACAGAGTGAAGGACCCGAGTGGCCGCAACGGCCAGAGCTGAGCCCAAAGACATGAGCCAGGACTTTTCTTCTGAGTCTCCCATGTGGTGTGGGGTTCCAAACATTTGGGTCATTTTCCACTGCTTTCGCAGGCCACAAGCAGACAGCTGGTAGGGATGTGGGGCATAAACCAGGGCCCATGCAGGATCCCGTGCAGGGTGAGGATTTAGCCACCAGGCTATTGTTCCAGGCCTGCAGTTTACATTTTTAACCACTACACTGTGGAGTCTTATCTTCTCTGAGCCAACAATTAGGTGCCACATGAATAACTGCTCTGATTGGAATCTGTCCCTTCCAAGTCAGGTGTTGCCAATGTAATCCTGCTCTTCCAGAGCTGAGTGAGCCATCAGAGTTACTCCTCAATGAGTAAGACCCCTCCTGACATCAGAGGAGGCATGGACACTTGGAGGAGAGCTTGCCAGCTCTCCCTGTCTCCTCACCACAAGAGGAGAGCACCCTCTGGACTTCCCAGACACCAGCACTTGAGAAAATAAATCACCGCTCTTTACAAATTACCCAGCCTCAGGTATTCTATTGTAGTGGATCCAAACATACTGAGAAAACATTCTACAATTCACAAAATAAGCAACCTACATGTGCTTATTTGGAAGAAGGCTAAATTGACTCAAAATCAACATTTTCTTTTCACTCAAAAATAATGACGTCACATCTCACTGAGAGCCTGGGAAAACCAAACCTCAGAGCTTGGCGTTTTTAAAATGAGCACTGAAGCATCATAACACACAAACCTCACTGCATTAAAAATTACAATGCAAAACTCTGCATATTAATATTAATAACACAATCTTAAAAAGCAGGATGAGAAATATGCACTTTGTACAGTGCTGCACAAACCAGAATATCAAAAAACAAACAACACTATCTACACACACAATAAACGATATGAATATCTTTCCAAATCCAAACCCGGTATTCTGTCATTGACAAGAAGACAGCCACCTCCACACACAGTTCCTGTAACTTAGCCTGCCATCACTAAATACACAACCAAAACTTTGTTAAAAATATGAATAAATATTAAATCAAGACCTTCACTATACAACTATTAGAAACTTAAAAACATATTTTGTGGAAGCATTTCTACATAACTTAAGGTCAATTTGAAGTTCTTTCACTCCAATGATGATCCACTTCAGGATTTTCATAGTAAGTTTTTAAGTAGCAACAGGTAGCTTTGTTAAAGGATACAAACTACGTACGAGGGTTCTGTATCTTCACTGAAGAATCCGGATCTGGATGCTGCTTATGTATCACCTGAGTACAAATCTGTTCTATAAGAATCTACAGAAGCAAAACGACACATTGCATTAGAATCCTCACTGCAATGGCATCACCGCCAATGAACTCTGTGTGCAGCACTCACCGCAACTGAGTACACACTTCAGTCCAATGATATCCTAAATCTACAGTAACTTCGGTATTGTACTTCCAGTTAATGATAAAATGAAATAGGCAATACAACACAGGAACAATTGAGAGATAATTAAGCTCTTTTGCAATTCACAAATTAATAGATTTACTAAAATGCAGCCAGACTTTCTTTCCGTTAATAACATCAAAGAAGCATCCTACAAAACCTGAGTGGCCTTATTTTATGTTCAAACAGTTAACTCTACTATAGGGACACTTTTTATAATAAGGAATTAATAAGAACAAATTCAGACTCCATTCCTACCTCAAACAGGACATTGTATGTGGTCATGGTGATTAAATTTGTTTGAAGCATGAGTCGTTCGGCGAGCAAGGAAAATAACCCATGCCCAAGCATGACTTCAGCTTTTCTCCTGCAATTACACAGAAAGACGTCAGGGCAGACTGCAGGGACAGGGCACCACGCTGCCCCGCATGCTGCATGAAGGAAACAGAATAACGTTTTCCACAGTACGAATTCCAAGCCAATTACCCACCAATTTTCTCTGACCTAAAACTTTTAAGGTTCCCAAAACTTTAGGCAAAGAATGTTAACTGCAATTCACACATAAGCCAAAGCTAAAAACACAAGTATAGTGTAAAACTGACTATTACACAGCACAGCAAAATTCTCCACCAAATTCTCCAGAGTAATTACTTAGACTATTTGTTACAATCGAAAGCTGAGTGATCACAAACATTAATTCTGTCTCGACTCAGCAAACATTTTCTGTAAATGGCTTGCAAGCAAACATTTCAGGCTTTGGGACCCACACAGTCTCCATCACAACTCACAAGGGCCGTTGTATTGTAAATGCAGCAAGAGATAATATACAAAAATCCATTACAGTCATTTGGTTCCAATAACAAACATTTTATTTACTGGCATCCAGCTGGATTTATAAAGTCTGCAGCTGTCCTACCTCCATCATTTAAAATGTAATGACAGGCTATTCCTGGTGTGAAGACTGGTACCTACAATAAAACTGCCTGCTTCCAGTTAGGAAAATACGTTGGGCAGTTTCAGTTTTTAGCTAAGCATGTAACAGAACACATGGTGTGGCAAATGCCCAGGTGGTTCTTTCAGTCTTTGAGACACAGCAAATGATGATGTAAACCAGGTAAATCGCCACGGCAGCAAAAATTCACCTATTCCAAAGGAATTCTCATATCTAAAATACATGATAAATTTACATAATTTCCATACAAAACAAGCATGCACCAGTTGAACTGTATTTTTACATTATATAGCAACAGGATTAAACTTATCCAGCATTTTATGAATAACAATAAAAGACAGAGACTAGGGAGACCACAGAACAGAAACTTTATTCCAAAAAAAATAGTAAAATAAATAAGTAACATACCACAGTCCGTTTCACATTTCAAGCATACTCACTTTGGAGCCAGATGTTTTAGAAAATAGCCCATTGCCTTGAGAGCCTGTACTCGGATTCCTTCGCTTTTAGATGCCAAAAGTTTGTAGATAACACTGAAATTAATAAGAATCCGAAAGAAATGAATATGACTTATACAAAGTGATGATTTACAGATGCATATCTTTGTTACTAAAAAATCTATTTCAAGTCATACATATTAATATACATTCATGGCATTTAAAAATGTACTTACTCAAGGCTTGTTGCAATTCTTGTTCATGAAAACCAAAAACTGGTAATACAATTCAGAAAACACAGTGACTTTTCCAGTGAATAGTTATAAAAGTACTTCAAACCATTCATGAAAAAATACAATTAAAGTTAAGTTTATTTTGGTGAAAAACAATAGAAATCCACACAAAGTTTTTCCAACATACATATTTCTCCATGGAACTACTGAAGACAGTTTCTGTTTGCAAACTGTAATGCATACATCTGTCTCTGAGGCTCATTTTTTTCCTCTGCTACATACCTATCAATCTTCTTTAAAAGCTAGCAGGGTTTTTTTTTTTTTGGTTGTTGTTTTTTACAGATTTACTCCTTTTTACTGTAAAGTCAGATATATAGAGAGGAGGAGAGTCAGAGAGGAGGATCTTCCATCCAATAATTCATTCCCCAAGTAACTGCAATGGCTGGAGCTTCACCAATCTGAAGCCAATCAGGAGTCTCCTCCAGCTGCCCCACACGAGTGAACGGTCCCAAGGCTTTGGGTCATCTTCAACTGCCTAGGAAGGCCACCAGCAGGGAGCTGGATGGGCAGTGGGGCTGTCGGGATTAAAACCAGCACCCAGGCCTGGCGCGGTGGCGCAAGTGGTTAAGGTCCTCGCCTTGCACGCCCGGAATCCCATATGGGCACCGGTTCTATCCCAGCAGCCCTGCTTCCTTTCCAGCTCCCTGCCTGTGGCCTAGGAAAGCAGTCGAGGACAGCCCAAAGCTTTGGGATCCTGCACCCGCGTGGGAGACCCGGAAGAGGCTCCTGGCTTTGGACTGGCATAGCATGGGCCGTTGTGCTCACTTGGGGAGTGAATCATCGGAAGATCTTCCTCTCTGTCTCTGCTCTCTGTATATCCGCCTTTCCAATAAAAAAATAATAAAAATAAATCTTTAAAAAAAAAAACCAGCACCCATATGGGATCCCACATTTGCAAGGAGAGGACTTTAGCTGCCAGGCTACTATGCCTGGGATAAAGCTACCATTTTTTTAAGTCCATATAAAAGCATTGTTTTATATCAACTCTTCGTTAAATTGTTAAATCCTCACCATGATTAAAAAGTGAGGGACCTGTGAACTGCATAATAATCAGAATGAATTTAAAAGTCGAAATTACTCTTAAAAAACACATTTTGGAACTGGCGGTATGGCCTAGCAGCTAAAAGTCCTCATCTTGAACGCGCCCCGGGATCCCATATGGGCACCAGTTCTAATCCCAGCAGCTCCACTTCCCATCCAATTCCCTGCTTGTATCCTGGGAAAGCAGTCGAGGACGGCCCAAAGCCTTGGGACCCTGCACCCATGTGGGAGACCTGGAAGAGGTTTCTGCTTCCTGGCTTTAGATCAGCACAGCACCGGCCATTGGGCTCACTTGGAGAGTGAATCATCAGATAGAAAATCTTCCTCTCTGTCTCTCCTCCTCTCTGTATATCTCACTTTGTAACAAAAATAAATAAATCTTTAAAAAAAATACACTGCACATTCAATTCTCAAAAAAGCATACAATAAACAAGTTCTTAAAAATCTCCGAGGGCCATATAATCTGACTGTAAGCAAAATCAACTGGCAGTAAAATTCAACTGATGGGTAGCACTTCCTTTACAGTAATTCTAAAATTTCAGATTGTTGAAACCTGAGCAACTGACTAATCCTCCTCTTCAAGGGCTGGGATACCATGTGAGTGCTGGTTTGTGTCCTAGCTGCTCCATTTCCCAATCAGCTTCCTATTTGTGCCTTGGGAAAGCAGTGGAACACAGCCCAAATCCTTGACACTCTGCACCCACATGGGAGACCCAGAAGAAGCTCCTGGCTCCTGGCTTTGATTCAGCTCAGCTCCGGTCTTTCTGCCCACTTGGGGAGTGAACCAGCACATGCTTCCATGTGGTGGATCACAAGTGGAGCTGCCAGGACTTGAGCAGGCAAAGCACTACAGGTGGAGGCTTAACTTGCTACAATACCATACACAAACCTAGGAATTTTAGCTTATCAAAAGCAAAAATTGTTTTTGCTAAAGCTTGAAAAGGGAGTGGGAAGTCATTACTCTGCCTTGCTCCAATTGTGTATACGTTGCTTTCTGAAAGAACAAACCTGACTTAGGCCAACAGATGAAAAACATAGCACCCCAGTTAATAATAGCAGACCTGGTTAAGCATCACAAGGGAAAATAACACACTTTACCAGGCCAACGCGGCAGATACAACCAAGGTCAAGTGGCAGATCAAGCAGCTATTTAAAAAGGAGATGCTACAAACGAGAGATGCATGGGATTCAACTAAGCTCTCAATACACTCTTAGCTGACTGTGAAAGTACATAGGTACAGTGAAACCCTGAAAATATAACTGAAAAAACAAAAGCAAGGAAGACTGGAGAAATACCAATGACTTAGAAAGCAATCCAGAAACACACTTACACACATCACAATTGGGTGTGTACTTAACAGCCTCAAAGAACTAGACCACAACCACTGCACAGGTAACTGACTGAACTCTAGGACACAGAAAAACATAGGGAACTCAAAGAGTTGTGTTAAAGTGAAAGAAAAGTTATAATAATCAACAGAAGGAAAGCAGAAGCTATAGAACATGAAAAAGATAGAATCTGCAGATGAGATAGGACAAGCCATTAAAAACCAAACAGAACCCGGATCCCACCCACCAGCCACCACGTACACATGGTACGCTGTCCCCGTGTCTGCCTGGACTCTGGGGGCTGCTCCCTTCAGGGTGAGTACACTGACCGATGGGGAAGGTTTCTGTGACTAGGCAGGCCCGGGATCCGGGATCCACCCACCACCTTCACTGAGCGGTTGATGGGATTATGGAGGGGCGCAAGCTTGGGCCTGGGAGTTTAAACTTCCTGCTGCCTGCCGACTGTGGGTGGGTCTCAGGACGGGGTGTCTCATGTCCGGATCCAAGATTCAAGCCACCACATGCATATGGTGAGCTGTCCCTGGGCAGCCAGTGCGCCATTTGGCACCAGGCTCTGCCTGCTAGCCACCCAGTTGGGGTGCTCTGCGGTTTTGGTTCTTTGAGTCGCTGCGTAGGTAGCTCCTGGTTGAACCCACTGTGCTTCTGAACCCAATCCTTAAGACTCTCAATGACAGTAACTCTTCCTTCGATAAACTTGTAATCACTTAACAATGCTGAACACCGAACACCAGTTCGTGCAAAAGCTATGGCACAGAGCTTGTCCAGCAGGATATCCTATTACCTGACATGATGATGGATCAGGAGACAGGTCACATTAGGCAGGGCCATAACATTAACTAGCATTCGAGAACCATATCTGGGGGCAGATTCTGTGGAGAATGTGTGGGCCAAACCCTGTGGAAATTCTAGCCCCACTGGTTAGCTCAAGAGTCGGGGTAGTGATGGACTAAGCTAGGTGGGACCAAGGAGCCTGCCATCACTAAGAGGTAAAGGAACCCGCAACAGTATGTACTGGTCAAGGCAGCATGAAATGTGCTTCCTGAATAGACTATGGGGTGGGCCGGGCTGCAACATTCACCAGCTCATACAAGGCCAAATGGAAGGCCAGACTGTGCTGGGCACTGGCCTAAAACCCAATGGCATGTATGAGAACTGGGTCTGGGAGTGGATCAAGTGGAGCAACTTGGGAAACTCCCCTGGAGAAACATACCTCCTACTGGTGAGCATATATAGTCCAGACCTGGGGTTCAGACAAACTGGGAAAAGTAGCTCCAACAGCTGGCTAACGTGTCAATTGGTAACAGAACGGGATGTACTGGGCACGACCGAGCAAACCTTAACCTAAAAGCAAAACTAAAAACTAGGATGGAGGACAGATCATGCCAAGCTAGGCTCTTGTACCTACTGGTCTGCACAAGTCAGGAACGCTAAACCACAGTGTCTTAGACACTGGGACAGGTGAGGGGTTGAGCCAAGTTAATCAGAGCAACCACTGGCATTTGTGTGATCTATGGTTGGGAACAGGCCTGGTTGGGGAGCTAAGGGGACACCCTTTTGAGGTTCCCACCAAGGGGTGTGTGGCCTGGAATGGGGACTGCATTCTGATCAGGAAACAGTTGTAGTCTCCCCTGACACAAGTGTGGACTGGGACTGGATGCACCAAGCCGGGCCAGATTCCAACACCGTCTGGTGTCCTGGAGGATCAGGGTAGATGTGGAATGGACTAGGCTAGGTTTCAACCCCTACTGAGCCATGTGTGAGTCATATGTGAGTATGGACAAGCCATGGCTGGGCTGAAACATCCAACAGCAAGAATCAGATTGGGTTGAAGGCCAGTCAGGAAAAGCCACAGTTCCTGCTAGGACAGGAGGTGAACTGAGTAGTGCTGGCTCATGGACCCACTGGTATGCACAAAATCTGGCATTGGGAGGGGTTCTGATTGGAAGAACCTGGGCAACTCCTCTGGCAGGACACAGACCCGGCAGGTAAGGGCAAGAAGTATGATAGGAAACAGCCCAGAACAGGCCACGGGAAGTTTCCCACTGGCATATATTTGGCATGGGTCGGGGACAGACCAGGCTGAATCAGTTCATGTCATCCACTGGTTAATCCGAGCACCAGAACAGAGTGTGGGTCAAGCCAGGTTTGGTCACGACAAAAACCAGTGCACATTACAGAATGCCAAGGTGAGGTTGCCTGTGCCAGATGTGACTGCAGCGCCCAACCAGCACATGTGAGAACCAAGAAGGAAGGGGGCAGAGCCAGCAGGGGGGGTTCTCTTGCTGGACAGCTACTCCCACTGGAGAGCGTGACCAGACCAGGCAGGGCTACAACATCTGTGCGCCTCATGTGGACTAGATAAGGGAAAAGCCCGGCTGGGATGATTATTCCTACTGGTGCAAACAAAATTAG